TGCCCAAAAGACTGTGACACAGGTTACTCCAGAGGCACCTGCACACCCATGTTTATTGCAGCACTATTCACAATAGCCAAGTTATGGAAACAGCCAAGATGCCCCACTACTGACGAATGGATTAAGAAAATGTGGTATCTATACACAATGGAATTTTATGCAGCCATGAAGAAGAACGAAATGTTATCATTCACTGGTAAATGGATGGAATTGGAGAACATCTTTCTAAGTGAGGTTAGCCTGGCCCAAAAGACCAAAAATCGTATGTTCTCCCTCATATGCGGACATTAGATCAAGGGCAAACACAACAAGGGGACTGGACTTTGATCACATGATAAAGTGAGAGCACACAAGGGAGGGGTGAGGACAGGTAATACACCCAAAAAACTAGATAACATTTGTTGCCCTCAACACAGAGAAACTAATACAGATACTTTAAAGCAACAGAGGCCAATGGGAGAAGGGGACCAGGAACTAGAGAAAAGGTTAGTATGAGAAGAATTAATTTAAAAGATAACACACATGTACAGGAAATCAATGCAAGTCAACTCCCTGTATCGCTATCCTTATCTCAACTAGTAAAAACCCTTGGTCCTTCCTATTATTGCTATACTGTCTCTTCAACAAAATTAGAGATAAAGGCCAATAGTTTCTGCCCAGTAGCAAGGGGTAAGGAGGGGGAAGGGAGGGAGTTGGGGTGTGGTGGTTTAGGGAGGGGGCGTGGGGAAGGGGGAGAAATGACCCAAGCATTGTATGTACATAAAAAACACCTCAATCTTAGTTACATAAATGAACAACCATTTTATTATGTCCCTCTAGGTCAGGAATTCAGACAAAGCATAGCAGGAATGCTTGTTTCAGCTTGGCCTTCATCCAGGAAAACTGAGAGTGACTCAATGTCTTACAGTGGGAATTACCTGGAGGTTCTTTGCTCAAAACGTCTGGTAGCTGGGCTGGTATGATTCTGCTCAAATGTAGCCTTCCATGTACCTTGGGTTATCTCCATATATGGTGGCCACATGGTAGTTGATCTTTTTACACGGTATCTTAGGGACCCAAGCATGAATATTCCAGAGAACAAGGTCAACTCTGCATGGCCTTTTCTGTTCTAGCTTTTGAAATCAATCAGCATCACATCTGTTGCATTCCAATGGTCCATTCGAAAACAATCTACCTGAATTCAGGGAGAAGTATTTGACTCCATCTCTCAAAGACGGAAGCCTGAAATAAATCATAATTTAAAAGCCATCACAATGTATAAGCTAACCTCTTAGTAGTCTCAAGAATCTTTCTGGGCCAGGTTCATGTCTTAGATATCTCTGTATAGTATTAGGCCTCCTGCCAAATTTGAGACTACCAGAAGTCAAGGCTTAAAGGGAATTGGTGAACTGCAGGATTAACTTTGTAACACTAAGGTCTTCTGTCCACCACAGTTTTGTAAGCTTTTTCTGTGTTCTATCCTTCTGAAGCTGGGAGCATATAATTCTAGATCCTCTTTCGGCTCTCTCTGCTGGTCAAAGATTATTGCCATACTCTTTCTGACACACAGCCTATCTGACTTCTCTATTATCTTCAAGACAGTCCAAGGATATTAGCATCACATACAAGCCCTTTTATGATTTTGCCCTGACCACTGGAAATTCAGATTCTATGCTATAGTCCAGGATATGAACAACAACATAACATTGTTACCAAATCCTAGCTCTGGTACTTCTCATTAATGCCCTGAGACACATGGGAGAATCCTCTTTCTGCAGTTGAGAACAGCCCACAACAAAAATGGCCAATTGTTGGGTGCTGGTGACTTACCAGCTACTATAATCCTAGCTACTCAGGAGGCAGAAATCAGGAGGAGTGCAGTTCAAAGCCAGCCCAGGCAAATAGTTCTTGAGACCCTATCTTGATTAAAAACCCTTCAAAAATGGGGCAGGTAGAGTAGCTTAAGATGTAGGCCTTGAGTTCAAACCCCAGTACCGCCAAGAAAAAAAAAAAAAAAAAAGGCCTAGTTCCACTATTTTCTGTATTCAGCCAGTTCTTGAGGGCTCAAGCCTGCAAATGGATTGGAATCAATGGCTCCTCTTTGACACTTGATGCTTGTGTAGATGGCAGTCCAATGATCCCAACTCCTCTGAATTCTCAGGGGTTTTATCTTTTTTACACAGTCCATCTCTTTTTTGGTTAGGGCCTCCAAATTCATCTCACATATTTTAGTAACTTTCAGTCTCAATGAAGAAGAGATCAGTCTCGTGTGTGTGTGTGTGTGTGTGTGTGTGTGTGTGTGTGTGTGTGTGTACCTTCTTTCCTCCCTCCCTTTCAAGAGCTGGTGCTCAAACGCAGGGCTCATACATACTAGGCACATGCTGTCCCACTGTGCTACATACCCAAATCCATTTTTTAAAAATTTTGGCAGCACTGGGGTTTGAACTTAGGGCCTCGCAATTGCTAGGCAGATGCTTTTACCTGCTTGAGACACTCTGCCAGTATTTTTTTTGGGGGGGGGGTTCAAGATAGGGTCTTGCAAACTGTTTGCCCAGGCTGGCTTTGAACCACAATCCTCCTGATCTCTTCCTCCTGAGTAGCTAGGATGAAAGGCATGAGCCACTGGTGTCCAGCTCCCAGACCCATTTTTTTGTTTGTTTGAGATAGGGTCTCACAATACAGCTCAGGTTGGCCTAGAACTCACAATCCTACCATCTCCCAGTCCTTCCAGCCCCACTTTTAAAATACCTAACTCTGTCTATCAGCATCTAAGATCTTATAGCAATCACTATGTGTGCCTGACATACTTCATCTTCATCTATTTTCAAGCTCTGAGTCTAGGTCCTGATTCAGCCAAATGCCCTGGAACATCTACATTGATTGAGGGGATTCATGAGTCCCTTGAGGTGAGGAGGCTGGGTAAAATGCAGGTGACAAGTTAAATTTGAATTCCAGTTAAACAACAAATATAATTTTAGCATAAGTATGTCCCAATCGATTTTTGTACAGATAATGGGTAGTTATGCATTCCTGTGGGGAGGGGCTCCAAATGTTTAACAGAGCTTCAAAAAGGTCTTTAAAAACTGGTGCAGGATTTGCTGAAGGAACTATGTGCTTTAGTGACTCTAAAGGAGTGAAACTAATTGTTTTTTATTCCCATTGGACCTGGAAGGAGTGAAACTATTGCATGGAACATACTCATATTTACAAAACATTTGTCTGGGCATGGTGGCAGATACCTGTAATCTCAGCAGTCCGGAGGCTGAGGCAGAAGGATAGTGAGTCTAAGGACAGTCTGGGCTACATAGCAAGACCCTATCTCTAAAAAGCCAAAATAAGGCTAGTGTGGTAGGTCACATCTGTAATCCCAGCTACTCAGGAGGAGGAGATCCAGAGGATCAAGGTATGAGGCCAACCTGGGCAACCAATAATTGGTTATCTCAACCAATAAACTGGACATGGTATTAATCCTCTGCAATCCCTCCTACACAGTAGAAAGATTATACAGTCCAGGTCAGCAGTGCAAAAATGTGAACCCCTACTGGAAAAATAACTAAGGCAAAAAAGTGTTGGGGAAGTGACTCAAGTGGTAGAGTGTCTTCCTAAGCAAAGTACAGAGGCCCTGAGTTCAAACTCCAGTACTGCCAAAAAAGGAAAAGAAATTGAATGAAAAAATCCCCCGCATTTGTTTATCTAAAATTAAAATGTAGCTAAGTCGCTGTATGTATTTTTGACTTGCTGCATCTGGAAACTCTATCTTGAAGCCAACCATATTTTCCTAGGTTCGTGGGGTTATAGATTAAGGAAGGTATGGATGGAAAGACAAGTGTGTTTCTTTCATTTTTCCAAGTTATTCAACTATTAACACTGCAATACGAGGGTGAAGGGTAAATCGAGGAAGCTCCTTCCAATCTGTTAGCGCTAAATATCAGGACATTATCATTGTTTCAGAATTTACATTGTTACAGAGCGACTCCGAGACTGACAACATTGCCGATAGTTAAGGCAGTGGTTTCCTTGTTAAATTCCTAGAACAGAAAGAGTTTGCAGCAAGTTCTTTAAATCAGACTTAGAAAATTTCATTACAGAAACAACGTATGTTCAGACTGAGGGAGGGAAAGAGCGTAAGTAAATACACAACAATCCGTCCTTGAAGCCAGGACTGTAACCCTGGGAGAGAACAGCAATCTTCATTTCTATCAGTAAGTCCTATCACGGCTACCATTTAGCCTTTCATATTAAACCACTACAGTGTTTGTGCTCAAGCCTACAACCAGGCTAACCTTCCTACCAAATTCTTCTAGAGCAGGAGTTCTTTTTTCCGGTACTGGGGTTTGAACTCAAGGCCTACACCTTGAGCCACTTCACCAGCCCTTTTTGTGTTGTGTATCTTTGAGACAGGGTCTCGCGCACTGATTGCCAGGCCTGGCTTCGAACTGCGATCCTCATGATCTCCGCCTCTGAGAAGCTAGGATTACAGCGTGAGCCACCGGCGCCCGGCTTTTTTCTCTTCTTATTTTTGTAAATTTTATTTGGATACACAAACATGGTAAAGAAAAAAAAAAAAGTCCATCAATGCAAATAGTTATACAAGTTTCCCTTCCATCGTGACCCCGGGTCCTTGACATGAATTAGAGACTGGGGTCTCAGGAAGGATTTCTAGAGTTACGTGAATTCCCTGGATGCATAATTTTCAACGTATGGATATTGTGCGCTTTGTGGGGAGAGGATCTAAACTTTTTACCTGAGAGCTCAAAAAGGTGCGTGTCTAAGAACGCCCGATGCAGGACTCGCTGAAGGACTCTACGTGCCCGAGTGACTCAGAACGGGGATTAAAAACCCATTATCTTCGTGTAAAACGCCCACAACCCAGCCCGCTCCCGGGTCCCCTCACAAAGTAGGCTCCATGTAGAAAGGACCGAGCTTTCTTTCCAAGTTTTCCGCCTACCGCATTCCTTCCGTCCAGTGCGTCGGCGCGCTGACGTCACGACGCCGCGCACGCAGCCCCGCCCCTGCAGAGCTTGGCGCTGGGACGGAACCCGGGTTCCTCTCCAACCCGGAATGTGAGGCTTCGGCTCAGCTGTGGGTTGTTCCTGTCCCGCTCTTTTCTCCAGGCCTGTGTCGGTTGCCGCTGCCCCTCGGCTCGCCTCAGGAGGAACCAGGGCGGCCGTGCCCTTCTGTAGTGTGCCCGCGTGGCTGCCGCCGCCGCCTCTCCGAATCCTCCGGGGCAGCCGAGGAGTTCGCTACGGAGGGAGGCGGGGGCCTTCGGGAGGAGGAGGCGGAGGAGGCGGAGGAGGAGGGAAGGAAGATGGCGGCCGTGGAACTAGAGTGGATCCCAGAGACTCTTTACAACACCGCCATCTCCGCTGTCGTGGACAACTACATCCGCTCCCGCCGAGACATCCGCTCCTTGCCCGAGAACATCCAGTTCGATGTTTACTACAAGGTACGGGCTGGGGGCCTGCTCGCTGCCCTCCTGTCGTAGCCCCTGGGGCCGCACCCCCTTCCACGTCTGCGAACCCCCGCAGTTAACTCCTCACCCCGTAGCAAGATCGCCTCTGCGACGTCTGGTGCGGGGCCGCGGTCCCCACACACAGACGTCCTGTCTCTCACTTCGCCTGTCCCCTTAAGCTTTGGGGCCTTTATGTTCCTTCCTGATGAGTATCGCCCGCTTTTTGGTGTTTCCCTTCTGCACAGTGGCCCCCTCGGGTAGGCCTTTTGCGTGAGATTCCTCCATTGCGCCCCTGTCCCACCCAGGCCTTCTCTATCTTTGGGATATTTTCCGCCCTCTTCTCCCAATTAAGTGTCAGCATCAGCTGGACTTTTTGCTGTGCTCCTTCCCCATCCCCCAATCTTTCCTACTTTTCTCATCCCAATTCCCTCCGAGTGGTTGGTTTGTTGGTTGGTTTGTAGGGTTTTTTTGTCTTATTTTTTTTCTTCTGCTTCGTGTTCCTTCTTTCTCTTCCCAATCCGAAGGGAGTTAGGGATTATTCTAAATAGTCTGTGTGTTTTATTTTCATATTCTTTAAAGCTTTGATTTTTTTTGTTTATACTTGGTGTTGAATTGGGGATTTTATTAATGAGAGTTGTTGGTCGACTGCTTGAAAAGGAGATATCCCGAAAGAAAAAAAAAAACCTTCAAATTTTAAATTATGTCCATGTATTTGAAAAGTTGCAATCTTGCCGCATTCCTCAATCTTTTTCCCCCTCAAAAATCTGAACAAAAGTCTTCAAGTCACTCTCCAAGGAGTTTCAAGGGTAAGTGTCCTTAGACGTGGACAATTTTGCAGTGTTTTGAGAGGGAGGAGAAGTTTATGGACTCGAGACCTCCCTTTTCCTCTCCCCCGCAGTCGAATGTGAACAGTGGATTTATTATTCAGTACTCCTTGCCTTGAGTCAGCGTGGATAACTCTAGTCTGCAGTAGCTACCCTGGCAAAATGTGACCTGAAGTAGAATAGGACTTATTTTTTTAGATCTTAAAATACTTCCCCTTGATTTGTAAGCTAGCTGGAAGAGTGTAAACTGATATTTAACAGATGTGTATGTTCTTCCATATGCATGGTGTTTTACGGTAGTTGTTTTATTGGGAAGATTGCCTGCTTTCTCTAACCTCGGAATATTTTTTCAGGATTAGCAACATTCTACATCGAGCTGCTTTGCACCAGTTCTAACAATTAAAATTATTTTTCTCCTAAATATTTGGAAAGTTTTATTTTGGCTATGCATATTGTTACTTTTTAATTAGAGGAAAACCTCCCTTCATTCCAAATCCCTTTGATACACTGATTTATTTTTTTGTATAGCAAAGGAAATTTTGTGCATTTAAGATACATTCCTCCCCAAGGGCAGATTACATTTGCCTTTCTCAACCAGGGAAATTGCAGCATTGTGTGTGCTATTTCTGTCCGTTTTAATAGATCATAAATAAACTTGTACATTTTTTAGAGGAAATCACCTGAAATTTAACCAGTGGAAGTACTTTTAATATTTAAATTCCCTCAAAATACTTGAATATCTTCTAGTAACTTCTAATTCTAATTGAAGCTCTTTCTTTGAATATTATTGAGTATGAACAGTTGGTGGTTTTTGTCACGTTTTCTGTCTGACACAGTTCAGAGTTTTAATATTGTTCTTTTTGCTACTCTTACTCCTTAATAGTTGTGTGCTTTGAATTGTTTTAAGTCTGTACCTGGAACAATGCTAAGCATTTTTATTGATGTTATCTTCTTTAAGCCTTACAATTAAACAGAGAAGTAGAGTTCATTCCTGTTTTATAGGTGAGAAAGTTAAGTAATTTACTTAAAGTCTCTATTTAGTTCCTGAGTACCTTACTTTTTTGCTAAGAAAGATTTTGTGTGTTGAGGTTCGGTTGTTTTAATGGGTGATACTTTAGAACTAATTTTTTATTAAGTTCTATACAACTTGATAGTGAAAGTCAATCCCAGGACTCCATTTTTTAATGGAGATAGAAGAAGGAAAAATTTAATTACAATACCAGCTTATAAAAATAAGATATTTTTTAAGCACTTTAAGTACATACATAAATGTAGCTATTCATCCCCTGCTCAACTTGTGGAAATTTTATGCATATTTTTTCCAGTTTTTAGTTTTTCTCCACTTTAGAGCCAAGGAGAACTCATAATCAGATCTCTCCAACAGTCCTTAATTTCCATCTTAGGCATAGTTATAGACAAAATGGTCGTGTTCTCCCATGCCTCTTGATTGGTGTAGTTCAGTGTAACTATTAATTTTGGTCAGTAGCTTCAAATGAAGACCCAGTGGTTCATTAGGCATGACAGCTATGGAATGAATGACAGGCGAAGTAGGAATGTTGACTGCTCCCTAAGAAGGGAAGGGTTGTTGAGTAAAAGGGTAAAGTATGAAGTGACTTCTTCTTTTTAAATAATGAAATTCATTAGAGTATATTTTTGGTCAAATAGCAGAAATCAAAAGAGTGAGAGGTTGAATATACCAGTTAGGCTGGAAATAAATTATGGAGCAGAGTCCCTGAGCAGAAACATGACTCTTGCCCTCTTGGTCTTTTCTCCTTCACTGTACATAAAGTATTAGTCTTAAATTGGAGTTAGGGGGAAAATATTTATTTTTCAGAGATCAGAAGAAAAGACTTAAAGATCCAAGGTATCAATATAAGTAACTTTGCAAGGATTTGTTGTCATGTATTAGGGGGTGAGATGATCTGCTGAGGCTAAAGTTAAGAGTGATAGATTTTTGTAGAAAGTTAAACAGAAGTTGGAAATAAGGGAAGGAAAACTGACTACAAATATGTAAAAAAGCCAGGCACTGATGGCTCACACCTGTAATCCTAGCTTCTCTGGAGGCAGAGATCAGGAGGATTGTGGTTTGAAGCCAGCAAATAGTTCCCAAGACCCTCACTCAAAAAAAAAAAAAAAGAAAGAAAAAAATCACAAAAAGGGTTGGTGAAATAGCTCAAGCAGTTAGAGCACCTGCTTTGCAAGCATGAAGCCCTGAGTTCAAACCTCAGTCCAACTAAAAACTAAATATATGCACATATATCTATATATATGTGTGTATGTGTGTGTATATATGTAAAATAATTGATAGGCAGTGGATAGATGGTTAAATAAAAAGTTGATACCCCATGAAATATTCTGCATGTTTTTTTCTCCAATGGCACTGAACCATCTTGGTATAAAAGTGGGTAAGGTGAATTGAAAGAATTGTAAGCTGTATATACATTGAAAGCAAATAAATTGAAGTGCTGTGTTGTTTCAAGAATGAAGTTTATGATCTGTTTTTGTTTTGTTTTGTTTTGTTGTAATGACTGCTGAATGGTCTATTTTGTGTCCTTTCTAAATACAAAGTTTCCATAGAATTAAGTTTTGGCTAGGAGAAGTACTTAAGCAGTGAATTCTACTTAATTGTTTTCACAGTCTTTATTTTTTTGAGACTGGGTCTTGCTGTGTTCAAGGTTTGCCTTGAACTCTGGACTCAAGTGATTCATCTGCCTTAGCCTCCCAAGTCGCTGAGACTGCAGGTATGTGTTTCCATGCCCGGGTACTAGTCTTTTTTTCCCCCAGCTAACATTCTTAAACTTAATGATTTTTTTTTTCAAAAATTATTACTTCATGTTGAAAACCACACTAACAAATGCTTGACTTAGGATTAAAGTTAATGTTTTTCTTTTTGTGTGTATGTTTGTGTTGTGTAGCTGGCTATATATACAGCCTCAACCAGTATTCTGAGAATCTTTTGATTCATTGGTAATAAATTGGAAAAACAGTTTACAAGGTATTTGACAACCTAAAAGTTAATATTCTTTTCATATAAAGAGCTTATAGGAATAAGATGAGAGCTCACACTTTATGGGGAAAAGGGACTTAAGAAAAATTGCCGACTGAACTATTTGTCTGTATGGGAGTTAATATGTAAAGTCATCTTGGTTTAAGCTGTGAATTTATAACAATTTAAGTTAGTATCTGGAATTTTACTTGATATAAGAAAGATTAAATATGAAGTTCATGTGGAGGAGTTAATTATCTGAGAAAAATGAACCAAGGAAAATTTGAAGCACAATGATTAGGAGAGATGTCCATTTTAAGATAGTAAAGTAGCCAGGTATGGTGGTGAATACCTTGTAATCCCAGCACCTGGGAGGTAGAGATGGAGGATTTTGAGTTTGAGGACATCATGGGCTATCAAGAAAGACTGTCTCAAAACAAAACAAAAGATAGTTAAGTCAAAGATGGCATATTAGAAATTTTAAAACTGTAGCATTTGCACAAGAACAGTACAGAGAAATTGATTTCTCAGACATAGTAGACAGTCCAGAAGAACCCAAAGCATAGTTATGATTTTATTATATGATAAAGTTATGAGACTGTTAATATTTCAAATCCATGGGAAGGTATCTTGTAAATGCTTTGAATAACTGGCCTTTTGGGAAATAAAGTTAGACCACTACATTACACCTTAGCACCAGAATGAATTACATGTGAATTAAAGATTTAAATATGACTATTGAAATCCAAAAAAATTTAGAATAAATTATTGGGTCAATTTCTTATAGTGAGAAATGACTGAAATTTTTTCTTTAAAGAAGTTATTTTAAAAGTAATTTACAAACTATAAAAATGTCAATTATGGAAATACATAAAAGGTGAAGACCTCTGTGTTACTCATCTTGCCAACATTGTGATGCCATCTTGGCATTGAGAAGGCTTTTCTAAGCATGAAACAAACAAACATGGCAAAAAAGGAATTGGTACTTTGAGTACTTTAAAAACTAGGGGGAGCTGATGCTGGTGGCTCCCACCTATAATCCTGGCTACTTGGGAGGCTGAGGGTAGAAGGATCACAGTTTGAGGCCAGCCTGGGCAAATAATTCTAAGAGACCCTATGTTGAAAATACCCAGCACACAAAAGAAAGGGCTGGTGGAGTGGCTGAAGTGGCAGAATACCTGCCT